CCTATTCTGCCTCTCCACCCTAATATTCTCTGTTTCCACCTGCCTGTGTGTGTGTCCATCCCGGTCTCCAGGTATACAGTATGTTCAGTTATCCCAGGGAGTACCCCTACATCATCAGAGACACTTACAATGACCCCTGTAATGGCCACAGGCGTCACAGGGGGAGTCTTGAGGCTTCTGCATCTCCAGGGACCTCTAGTTCTCCTTATCAGATGGCTGAGACTCCTACAACTACTACTCCACCCTTCATGCATCAATATTATCACACCTATTCCTATGCTGTATCGCTACCTGATCTATATGAACTTTTGAAGGTAAAGTCTCTTCCCAACCCTCAACCGGTGTCCTAGGACCCCAGAATCTCAGACTCCAGACTCCCAGCTTGTGGTCCTTCCTGACCCCCAGACATCCAAATTCCCAGATCACTTGCCTCCCAAGTACTTAGAACTTCAGATTCCCAAATTCCCAGTACCCTGGATCCCAAGCTTCTGGACTAAGATCGCTGGAGCCCCACACTCTCAGCTCCCTAATACCCCAGAACTCCAGACCTCTTGAACCTTAGATCCCCAGTTCCCCTTTACTTCAGTCTCCTGGGCCACCAGAACTCAAAGTGCCAGACCTTCAGACTTCTGGACAGGAGGGAGGGAAGCAGGGAAGCCTAGGGGAAAGAAGGATGAGAGAGACAGAGAGAGAGAAAGAAGAAGGTTGGGGAAAGGAGGGAGAGAAGCAGAGGAGAAGAGAGGTGAGAGGTAGTAATGGGAAGAAGGGATGGAGGTAAGTGAAACAGATAAGGGAGGGTAATAACAATTGAAGGATTGATCAAGTGAGAAACCACAAGTCTGTGAGGTCATATGAGAAACAGATTACAAAGGTCAGGCTCTTGCAATGAACATGTATGAGTTTGTGTGAGCCACTGCACTCTGTTGACTGCAATGAGAACTATTCATCTGTGTATCATAGGCACTATACAGCTGACAACTGATGGGGATTCTCCTTCATTTTGAATGGTCAGGGCCTGGGTTTTTGGTGCCAAAGGATCTGAGTTCTACCCTAGATGTTTCTGTAAAGCTCTGAGTGGCCCTGGGGTGCAGCAGAGGGACAGCCATGACATCCTAAGAGGTCATTGTCACTGACTGGGATGTGGGCAGTCACATCTAGTGGTTAGAGCAGGACTCAGTAGCCAGGACTTAGAGCCCAGAGTCAAGGTCAGGGCCAAAATCAGAGATCAAGAATCAGAGCCAAGGGGTCAGACCCGGGTTACCTGGAGTGAGGCAGAGTAGGCGCAAGGCTGGGGAAAAGGCTAGAAACAAGCAGGCACCCTCACAACCATGGGCAATTGGCTTGAGCTACTGCTGAGCAGCTGTTGCTGCTGGGCTCAAGAGCCGGTCTGCTGATTGCTGACCCTTCCCACCCATCGGGCAGCCTGCTATGAGCCAGCTGTGCTTGTTTGGTTGCCTAGGCACTGGCTCCGATGCAGGCCCTGCTTCCAGACAGTCGTTACAACACAAACCAAGCAGGTTTGTGCCCCAGTGATACTGGCCACCCACCCCTCCAGTTCCCTTCTCTTCCTTTACACCCAGAACGCAGTGCTGAAACTTTTAACCAACCTTAAAATCAAGTCTCCCATTGAGTGCCACACTGGGACCACTTACCATGGAGTCTTCATGAGTACGTCTTGTTTTATCACTATTACTGTCAAGGTTCCTTCCCCACTCTGAACTCTAGGGTACAGATGTGGGGACCTGCATGAAAACCCCCTAAGCTTACTTTTACCAGCTTAGGTTAAAGCTTCCCCAAGGTACAAACTATTTTACCCTTGGACTTCCACTGCCACCACCAAACTTTATCTGGGTTCCTGAGAAAACGTAGTTTGGAAACATCTTTCCCCCCAAAATCCTCCCAACCCTTGCACCCCACTTCCTGGGGAAGGTTTGGTAAAAATCCTCACCAATTTGCATAGGTGACCACAGACCCAAACCCTTGGATCTTAGAACAATGAAAAAGCATTCAGTTTTCTTACAAGAAGACTTAATAGAAGTAAAAAAAGAATCACCTCTGTAAAATCAGGATGGTGAATACCTTACAGGGTAATTAGATTCAAAACATAGAGAATCCCTCTAGGCAAAACCTTAAGTTACAAAGAAGATACACGGAGAGGAATATTCATTCTATTCAGCACAGCTATTTTCTCAGCCATTTAAAGAAATCATAATCTAACACATACCTAGCTAGATTACTTACTAAGTTCTAAGACTCCATTCCTGTTCTGTCCCCGGCAAAAGCATCACACAGAGACATAGACCCTTTGTTTTTCTCCCTCCTCCCAGCTTTTGAAAGTATCTTGTCTCCTCATTGGTCATTTTGGTCAGGTGCCAGCAAGGTTACCTTTAGCTTCTTAACCCTTTACAAGTGAGAGGACTTTTCCTCTGGCCAGGAGGGATTTTAAAGGGGTTTACCCTTCCCTTTATATTTATGACAATTGTCTTTGATAATAATGAGCTGCTGGGTAGCCCAAGGAAAGGGAGAGTAGGAAAGAGGCTTAGGATGTTGGTCATGTGGGACCATGTCCAGGGTATTGGAGAGGGCTTCCAGAAATGGACAGGTGGGATTCATGGGATGCATGCAGCTGGGAAGGGGCGGGGTAAGTTTCTGGTGATGTGGAAGTGGATGGCATGGGATACACATGTCTGAGGAACTGGGGCAGGGCTCCAGCAGCAGGGAGGAGGATCACCTGGTGAGTGCGTGGCCAAGGGAGGAGAGTCTGAGAGAAGTGGCAGAAAAGGGAAGGGTCTGGTTAAACGACTGGGAGGTGGGAGGGGTCAGGATCCTCTGTCTAGAAAAGAGAGAATAAGGAAAGATCAGCACTTGGTGGGAGTCTGGGCTCCTTTGGGGGAGGCAGAACACAAAGCAGCGGTAAGGAGGCTGGGTCCCTCAGAAGGGAGTATGGGCATGTGTTTGGGTGCTGTGAGAGGTCCCAGAAGCTGGGTTAGGATCAGGTGTCTTGTTGAGGGAGACAAGGTTGGAGGGGGTGCGGAGTGCTTTCAGGGGTTTCTTGCTCAAGAGGGAAGGGCCTATGAAGAGATCAGAATGGGAAGAGGGAGAGATTGGGAGCTGACTACAGGTCACTAGCACCTCCAGGGTTAGGGTGTGGCATGCCCAGTGCATGTGATGTGGGATGTGGGACAGCGCCATTGGCCCTAGAAAGAGCAGTGACTTTATTTTCCCCATCTGATGTGCCCTTGGCCCTAGTGATGCCTTCTAGCACTGACTAGTTTGGGTACCTCACCTTAGCTATGGTGGTACCTGTGAGCCACGCTTTTGGCACTGAGGAGGATGTGGTTAAGAACAGTAACGAGCCAGAAGGCAACGAGGCTGTGCAGGCATGTGCCGGGGTCCCGGAGACCTTCCTGTGGAGTCTGGTCCCCATCAAGTAAGTAGCTGTACTGTCACAGACCTCACAACCCCACCCCACCCCCACTGGGCGAGGGCTAATAGGGCTTGGATGGGAGCAGAGGCAGGGGAATGCTGCTGCTCTGTCTCCTGAGAGGAAGGGTGGCCTTGTGGTTTAGGGAGTAGCTGGGGCTCAGGAGGTCTGGGCTCAGTTCCCGTCTGCACAAGGGGGCTAACAGCACTTCTCTGCTGGATCTGTTTAGATTGTGAGCACTTCAGGACAGGTGCTGTCTCCCGCTCTGTGTGCTCCAGTGCCCAGCACCGTGGGCCGGGCTGAGGTTGCACTTGTCGTCTGCACGTATCCCAGGGAGCGAGCCTGAGTGGGGAGACTGCTCCCAGCCAGGATTTTCAGCTGGGGCCTTGGCTGGACGCAAATTTCTATTTGCAAAACGTTTGCATGTGTCTCCCATTCAATGTCCCTCCCAGTCCTTTCCCCTACCTCTGTGCCCCCCATGCACAGTCCCGGATTCCTAGCCCTCCGCGTTTCTCTCAGCCTCCTATCCCCCTCCTCCAGAGCTCCACCTCTGCTCAGGCCAGGAGCCTGAGCTGAGCATCAGCTCAGTTTTTGTGTAACTGTTAAATATTGCTCTATGTACATAGGCTATCAGGTCTGTGGGCATCTGGCCCAGGCCACAATCTCAGCGATATGGTCCTTGCTGGGTGGACCCTCCTTGCTGAGAGCCTTTCCACTCCCAATCTGCCGGTGGGGATGCCTGCACTGGAGCTGGAGGTGTAATTCCCCACTCAAGGAGACAGCTCCACACTAGCTCTGATGGAGCTACTGTGATAAAATGGGCAGCACCAGAAGGGGCTAGCCAACATGAGTACATACCTAGGGCTCAACGGGCTGGCTGCTCCTGCTGCTTGCTCTGTGACGGCCACACTGTTTTAGTGCACTGGCTTGATCAGAGCTAGCATGGGTACGTCTCTTCAAGCGCCAACTCCAGTGTAGACAGACCTTCTGGCTTCTCTTTACACCCCTGCTCTGTGTTAGTGTGGAGTATGTACACTCCATCACAAGCTCCTTACTCTGTCATTTCCCCACTGAAAAAACAACCAGCCCAGAATACTTAAATGCACCTCTTCTCAGTGAGGCCAACAAAACAAATGTGGAGTTTGTAGCCAGGCCATTTTGGAGATATCATGAGCCAGTAAAAGTCAGGGATATTTTCCAAAAAGTCAACTCCAGGAGTGGTTTTTTTTTGTTTTTTTTTTTTTGAAACACCATCACTTCCTTTCTGAGTCCCCTCCAGCCCCTATCAGATCACCCAGAAAACCCTAGGATGAGATATAGCACGTGAAATTTCAGGGTAGCTGGTTCTTTCGGGTGAAGTGAAGGAGGTGTTGAAAATCAAGCGTATAATGGAGCACTAGCCTCAGTCTTAATTATCCAGTGGCAACTCATAACCTTAAGTTCCCCCCCCCCACCGCCCACTGTAGTGTGTTGGCAACAGTGGGGTGCTGATGGGACCCAGGGTTGCACAGTCCCATTCTGAAACAGCACCTCTCCCTGTCTCCCCAATGACTCAGGAGCTGCCGAGCTGCCACTCACAGTCCCTGACACAATCACCGACTGGAAAGCCATGACTTTCTATACCTCAGAGCACAGTGGTTTGGGAATCTCTGAGACTGTCAGCCTGCGGACCTTCAAGCCCTTCTTTGTGGAACCGGCCTTGCCCTACTCTGTGATTCGGGGGGAGTCATTCCCCCTAAAGGTCAAAGTCTTCAGCTACCTAACACAGTGCATGGGGGTAAGTGGCTTATCTGGGGGGAAGGGCCCTCTAATAGTCTTTCCCCATTAACAGAGATCCAGACAAGGTGTTACCGCAGTGAAGGGTAGAACTCATCAATCACCTTGGAACAGGATCTCTGGGGATCCAGCCAGCTCTTCACAACCCCATCCCACCCCAGTCTCCCACATTGCCCCATTCCAGCAGGGCTGAACCCCACAAGAATTGTGGTGTCAGCTGAGGATTGATTGCTCCCAGGTTATTTGCCATACTAGGTGCCAATGACCCCTGACCTGGGACTAGGGGCCTGACTAACATCCAGATCAGAAGTTTGAGGGGAAGAGGCAGAAGCAAATCTCACCCCAGTTCCCCTTTTGTCTCACCCCAGATCCAGCTTAGCCTAAAGGACTCTGGGGATTTTGAGTTTGTGCAATCGAATGTCGAGTTCACTGCCTGCCTCTGCCCTGATTTGGCAAAAACCTTCTCCTGGGACGAGAAGGCTACAAAACTGGGTAAGGAGGGGTGAGTGACTGGAACTGCAGGGCAGGGCTGAGGGGCACTGGCAGGGTGTGTGGGGAGCCCAGGGCTGGGATAGCAGGCGGGCTGCAGGGCAGGACTGAGAGGCCTGGGTGAACTGGAGGAAAGGATCCAGCTGTCCAAATTCCAGGGCGGGTTTTCGATGGTCTAGTCAATATATTTACAATTGGTTTTACAGGGGAGGTGAATTTCACCATCGCTGCTGGGGCAATTGAACGTGAGGATGTTTGCACAGAGAACATGACTGTTGTGCTAGAGACAGGAGGGAAAGATACAGTGAATAAACCCCTGCTGGTCAAGGTCAGGTCCTGCTGTGGGGCCCGCTGAGGATGCGGTTTGAAAAACTTTGTGTCAGTCACAGCCTTACACTGAACCATTGACTTATGTGGGGGAGTGGAGATAACCCCTGGTTAACCCCCGCGGGGGCAATCCAGGCCTGCCCAATGCCTCGTGGTGAGGCTGACTAGGGTGTCTTGATGAGCACAGATTGGTCTAAAACAGATACCTGGCCACTCTGAGAGGCATTTTGGGGGTCCCAGGAGGGTTACTGGGTAAAGGCGCTCCAGGGACCTGGTGGTGTTTATGTTGCCTTATTATCTGTCAATATTTCCCCTTCTGAGCCTGTTTGCACTCTCCCGCCAGGCAGAGGGACTGCCAGAGGAGAACACCCACACCTCCCTCCTGTGCCCGAAAGGTAGGGGGGGCGCTCCTGGGGAATGTGGGGGAGGTGGCTGATGTTCTACTGGACACCTATGTGTGCATGGAGGTGGGAGGTGAAACAGAAATAATGTCATCTACCAGCAACCCCCATGATATCGGGCTGGGCAAGAGGAGCCCTGATGAGAGGGGACAGACAGGGGCTGTGGGACCTTTGCGGGAAGGGGGCCGCTGTCAGACAAGAAGGTCTTTCATGGCAGCACAAGCTCCTGGTACCACTGAACAATTGAATAACCATGTCACAGAGCCACTATGCCACTCTGTCACTGACAGCTTGGGCCACCCTGCCTCGAAGGGTATGTCCACACTGCAGGGTAAACCCAGGATTAGTAGAACTCGAGTTAGCAGACCCTGGGTTCGTTAACCTAGGCTTGAGCATCTACACTTTCTTGTAATCCCAGGTTAGGAATTCTTGAATCCTGGGTCCCAACCTGGGGCTCCAGCATCTACTCTGTATTATGAGGGCCCAAGTCCAACCATCCCTATCCCAGACTTCCTAGCACCTTCCCAAAATATGCCCTCTCTAGCCTATTGTTCTTGAGCAGAGTGGGGAAAAGTTGATTGTCTAGAACACAAAGAAAGTCAGCCCATAGGATTGTGGGATACTTTTGGCTGACTCCCAGAGCATGATTCCAATGGGGCCGTCTCTACACTGCAAAGCCGCAGGGCTTGAACCCTGAGTCCCAGCTTGACGCAGGGCTTGGACCCTCCACCTCGGGGTGGGGGGTCCTGGGACCCTGGATCCAAGCCCTGGGTTAATGCGATTTGTGTGTAGATGGAGGGTGGTTAGGCTTGAGCCTGAGTTCAAACCTTGGACTTACATTGCAGTGTAGACATGTCTGGCCATATTATTCTGCCAGTAAGCCCCAGCACAACCGTATCCACTCTATCAGGCCATCATGATACCATGTTACGAGGCCCCAGCAACACTATGCAGCTCTACTATTGATCCACTGCATTTACCCACATGAGCATAACGGACAAACCCCCACACCCCATTCCATGGCCTGGAAGAAGACAAACCCTCCACCTTCGTCTCCCCATCAATATGGCTTCAGGGAAGGTGCGGGGAGTTCCCGTGCGGGCCTGTCAGTGTAACTTGCTGTAATGTTCACCATTCCTTTCGTGTCCCAGGAGACCATCGGTGTCCAGGGAATCTTTTGAATCCTGATGTCAATTATTGGCACGTTCAGATCCAGAGGATCCCACATCTCATTTGCCCCATGGGGATGCTTAGTGCAGGCTGGGCTTCCATGTCACTCCACCATGCTGACAGGCCAGTGCTTTTGTCGTTCGCAGGGAACACCACTTCAGAGACCATCACTCTGGCTGTGCCGGGGGATGTGGTGCCAGGGTCAGAGAGAGCGGACATTTCCACTCTAGGTGAGGAGCGTCTGTCTCTGTCTCTGAGCCAGGGCTTCCTTGGAAAACAGGATTCTCCATGTAGGAGACTTTCTCCTTCTAATGCCCTCTTCTCATGGAGGATCAAATTCACCCCTGGTGGAACTCCACTTACTGTGATGATCAGTTTGTATAGAATTGTATGAGCTAAAGGTGGAAGATTTCTGTTACCACAGCCCCCTTCTTGTCTATCCGCCTGCCCTGAATCCCCTTAGCCAATGCAAGATTGTTCCCTACAGGATCATTGCCCAGTCAGTGCGCCTCTTTCTCACACACTCTTTGTATATTTAAAATATACACATGTCCTTTGGAGGCATCTGAATGGGAGAAGTCCCATTATGAAGCTACTCCTAAAAGAGCAGGATAAAATGGACGACAACACTGCTCTCATACTTTTTTCATACAAAGCATAATTAACCTGTGCAACTCCCTGCTGCAGGATTTAGAGGAAAATGGCTTTGGGGGATTAAAAAGGAGACCTATGAATGAGAACAGCATCTGCAGTGCCATTAGCTAGCATAAGAATGACCAGGGCTCTGAAACCTCATGCTCTAGTGAATAAAGTGATCTCCACCTGGGAATCAATTGAAAATTCCCCCAACCAGTCCCCCCAAGAGGAAGTATTGCACAGTGATATGCATTATGGGGAATTTTTGCCTTCCTGTGACTCATCCTGCATTGGCCCCTCTGTTATAGAACTAGTAGGATTTGTCGTCTGGTTCAGCACAGTAGGAGGTAGGGTGACCAGACAGCAAGTGTGAAAAATCAGGATGGGGATGGGGAGATAATAGGAGCCTATATAAGAAAAAGACCCCAAAGTTGGGACTGTCCCTGTAAAATCGGGACATCTGGTCACCCTAGTAGGAGGTGTGACATTGGACTTCTGAATGGGTCCTTAATCTGGACCAGTAATGATATCTCCTATGTCCCGGGTTCTCCTGTCACACCAACTTTACCCTGCCGTAACTCTATTGGCTTGACTCCTGATTCACACCAGAGTAGGGGAGAGGTGAATCAGACCCTATGTTTCTAGGTTATTTCACAGGCTATGTCAGCAAAAAGGATTTTTATGTACATCAATCTATAAAGCCCTCTATGGCGTGGTTTGGTCCCACAGGAGACATCATGGGAACAGCACTGCAGAACATCGACGGCCTCCTGCAGATGTCCGCTGGATGCAGAGAGCAGAACATATGGTGCGTTTCGCCCCCAATGTCTTCATCACACGGTACCTGGAGGAGACAGGCCAGAGATCAAACAGAAAGCTGCTGGCTTCCTTGAAAGCGGTGAGCGGATCTGAATTTAGGTTGTGGTGCTAGCTGTGAGAGGTCACTGCGGGCTTGTCTACACCAGAAATTCTGCAGCGGTGTAGCTGTAGTGCTTCAGTGTAGATGCTACCTATGCTGCTGGGAGAGGCTCTCCCACTGGCAGAGGTAATCCACCTCCCCAAAAGGCGGCAGCTAGGCCAATGGACGAATTCTTCTGTCGACCTAGTGCTGTCTACACAGGGGCCTTAGATTGGCTTAACTACGTTGATCAGAGGCATGGACTTTTCACACCTCAGAGCAACATAAACTGGGTCAAGCTACTAAGCTGATCACATGATGAAGCTGTAAGGAGAGTCCTGCTCCTGGATTCCTAGCTGGGTGAATCCAGCATAACTCTACTGATGTCACAAGAGTTACTCCAGATTGACGTTGGTGTAAATGAGTGCAGAATCCTCTTTTATCCCATATCTGTACAAGGGGGACAATAATGCTTACATACCTCTGCCAATCCCTTTGGTGGAGCTGCTCAGGTGCAAAACTCTAAACATTATTATTATAAAGACGAACTGGGAGGGAGATCACTCACCCAAAGAATGGGATGGCTGCAAAACATCTTCACTGTCTGGCTGGCTCTCCGGAGGATACCAGCGACAGCTCCGGTATAAGCACATTGATGGCTCATACAGCGCCTTTGGAGAAGGCCATGGTCCAGAGAACACCTGGTAAGCAGAGATCCCCAGAGCATGAGCTGAGAGCTGGCTGAGCTCAGGTCAGGCATGGCAAAGAGGAACAGATCTGGCCAGGGAAGCACTGCCCTAAGTATAGGGAACCTGAGAAGGTTCGGAGCATCTGATGCTACTCTGAACTGACACTGGGGCTGGGAAATCTGACTCGGGAGCTGATGTACTGATTTGGGGGGGGTCTCCATGTTTGGGTGTCCAAAGTTGGGCATCCCAACATAAGATGCCACCTTTTTGAAAATCTGACTGCAAAAGCTTTCTCCTCTCACAAGACTCCCGTGGCTCTTTGGGTAAGTCTATGCTGCACACCGAGCCTGGATCTGTGGGACCCCAGCTTGCGGACTTGGTTTTTTCAAACTAAGTGTCCGTGCTGCATTGCACACCTGGGTTTGCAGGTAGGTCCCTCAGTCATGCTGACACATCCTTACTGCACTACATAGAGCTTCTGACTCAGGTCTGCAGCTGGGATTTCAGCCCTGCTGTCCCCACCCGCACTTGGGGAATGAGGTGAGAATAGCAGGGACCAGAGGGGAGAAACAACACTGAATTATCAGAAGCTCCAAAATGTCCTGGTGGGAGGGGGTGAGTCCGAGCTCAGGGCTGAAAACTTCAGATCTTTTTTATTTTGTGTGTTGCTTCTGTTTGCCCCCTCCTACTCTCCTAATACTACATCGGGAGGCAGCCCATTTGTTTCACCCCACGCGCAAAATACAATGGGAGATACCATGATGTTTGTGTCCTTTTAGAAACCGTTCTTCTGGGACTAGCAACCCTCGCGTTCTCTGTCCCCCACCCATCTCTTCCCTGGCCTCAGGCTGACCGCTCTTGTCCTCAAGACATTTTGCCAAGCCCAGCACTCCATCCACATATGTAAGCAGTGTCAGGATGAGCTCCACCCTGACATCTGGTGGTGAGGTGTGGCAAGTTGTGGAAAAGAACTTCAGGGGCCGATCTCATTTGCATAGGCACACCCACCACGCCTAGAATGAGGCCATAGCTGCCCAAATGGTCACTTTGGCTGCTGTGGGATCCCTAGTGTCTCTGTTATTGGGGCAGGAAGAATAAATTGTTATTACCCTGATTATGGGAACTGTGCTTGGAACTGTACTTGGCCTTTTGTTATGATGGAGGGACTCGCCATCAACTAAGTAGCACTCGCTAGGCAAGGGTCATGGGTTCCAAAATTCTGTGAATTGAGAGAGGTTGGGTACAAGTATTAATACTTGGTGGTATAGGCCCCTTGGTGAGGGCCTTACATGCTAATTGCACTTCCTTCTCTCTCTACTGTGGAATATCAGAGTTAATTTTGATTCCATTAGGAGTCTAGTTACAGGCTGCTGAGCTCATTTTGGGCTAATGGTGCACCAGCACTGAGGCTCCCTTACTACAAGCTGAATTCACCAAGGAGCTGAACTGACTAAGAGCTGAAATCACTGAGCATTGTGTTAAGTAGTGGGGGAGCCTGAAGGTATATTGTGGAGCAGTTTGTGGGATGGCTGGAGTGCCTTGTGGACAGGCTGGTGGAGCAGTTCGTAGGACGGCAGGAGCTGCTTGTGGGAGGTGGAGTGGAGCAGTTTGTGGACCGGCTGGTGGAGCAGCGGAGTGGAGCCGAGCGAAGCAGTTCGTGAGGTGGCTGGTGGAGCGAAGGCCTATGGAGCTGTGGGGCGGTCAGCTTCAGATCATGTAAGGTGCCCTTTACCTCTCCCCCCCCCCCCCCCATCTCCACCCAGGTTGGGAGGTAAAGCTCTGCAGATAAACTTTCGAACTCTGGGGCTGCCAGGGACAGAGACTTTTGGGTCATTGGACTTTTGGGACTTTGGGTGATTTGGGGTTGCTGGACTCAAGAAACAAAGGGAAAGGGACATGCCCCAATTTGCTTGGGGTGGCTTTTTTTGCTCATGGGTTGTGTTACGAATCCTGTTGGTGGTGTTTCCCCAACATAATGCCACATTGTTTCTCTCTGTTATTAAAAAGCTTTTTGCTACACTCGGACTATGTGCTTGCGAGAGGGGAAGTATTGCCTCTTGGAGGCGCCCAGCGGGAGTGGTATATATTTGTCCCAGGTCACTGGGTGGGGGCTCGAGCCGGTTTGCATTGTGTTATTGGAATGAATCCCCTAGATATTGAACCCGGCCCTTGTTGCTGCCAACTCTGACGGGCAGAAGGGTTACACATAGACGAGCAGAACATAAAGGATGCTGCCAGGGCCCTGACCTGGAGCCAGATGCCATCCGGCTGCTTCCAGATCATGGGGAAGCTCTTCAGCAACGGCTTGATGGTACAATGCACCCCCCGCTGCTTTCCAGACTCCCCAGTTTTGCCTCCCACTCTGTCTCCTGAGCTGTGTGTCAGGAGCAAAGCCCAGCTACACTGCTGGGGAAGCCATGTCACTGGACAGCCTGCCCTATGGAGCCAGGATCTCCCCTGATCCAGGGCTGTGCTTGGTCGGGGCCATATTTATCTGGGGTGGTGAATGTAGAGCTAGGCCAAAAATTTTGGCTGAAACTTTTTTGGTGAAAAATGCAAATTGAGCAGCACCGAAACAGTTTGCAAATTTGGGTCGGCCTTGCTGAATTGTTTTGGCCAAAAAAAAGGTGATAAAACATTTTGATTTTTGGGGGGGGGCTTCAAAACAACTTTTTGTTTCAAAGTTTCTTTCCATTTAATTTTTAAACCAATGCAAGCGTTACAGAGAGACTCAAAATCAGAACAAAACATTTTGTTCAAACCAAAAGGAAATATTTTTCCATGTTTCGATTTCCAAAAAAGTTTCATTTTCAGTTTAATGCGAAGTGATTCCCCCCCCCCCCCCCCGGCATGTTTTGGAATTGGCAGACAACCAAAAAACTCGGTTATTTTCCCTGCTCTCTAACTGCGGCTGTGAAGATCCCCACTCCTCTGGGAAAGGGACAGCCCACAAGTGCCCTGAGCCAACCCCATCTCCAACCAATCCTGCCTGCTACCCCTGCAGGAACCGCCCCTGCTGCCAGACTGTCCCATGACCCCTTAGCAAGCAGCCTGGTCTGCCTTCCCCAGTACCGAATGCTACTCAGAAGGCAGAGAGTGACAGAAAGGAAATGGGGAGGGGGCTGCATCACCAACATGTGGTGCATCTTGATATAAATCCATGGTATATTCACATTTTGAATACTGCGTGCAGATGTGGTCACCCCATCTCAAAAAAGACATATTGGAAAAGGTTCAGAAAAGGGCAACAAAAATTATTAGGGGTATGGAACGGCTGCCATTTGAGGAGAGATTAATCAGACTGGGACTTTTCAGCTTGGAAAGGGGGCCTAAGATAGAGGTCTATAAAATCATGACTGGTGTAGAGAAAGTGAATAAGTGTTGTTTACTCCTTCTCATAACACAAGAACTAGGGGTCACCCAATGAAATTAATAGGCAGCAGGTTTAAAACAAACAGAAGTATTTCTTCACACAACACACAGTCAACCTGTGGAACTCCTTGCCAGAGGATGTTGTGAAGGCCAAGGCTATAACAGGTTCAAAAAAGATCTAGCTAAGTTCATGGAGGATAGGTCAATCCATGGCTATTAGCCAGGATGGGCAGGGATGGTGTCCCTAGCCTCTGTTTGCCAGAAGCTGGGAATCGGTGACTGGACACACTGGGAGACAAAGTGGTCGGGGAAGGGAAATCAGCCCAGTGCTCTCTGGAAGAAGAGAGCAGTTTGTGCTAGGAAGGTGTGTGCTGTGAGGGGAAAGCTGCTTCATCAGAGGTGGAAGCTCCAACACCCTTCCCAGACCACCTCCTCCCAAGTAAATGGTACCATGGCTGTGGTAGGTGCAGCTGTGTTCCATTTAGGGAGGTGGCTTAGGGAGAGCTGGGCTGGGGAAGCAAAGACTGGAAACCTCCCAGTGCTCTGATCTCATTGTGTTTCCTTTCCTCTTCTCTAGCTGTTGGGGAATTATACGGTGCAGTGGAGGAAGGACTTGGGCTGAGCGCTGTCATCACCACAGCCCTCATTCGCTCTGGGCTGCTGCAGTCGGTGAGTATCAGCAGCAGGAACATGCTCTCTGAAAACAGTGTGCTCTGCATGTACTCTCCCTCATGGCAGCATGATCTGTATGTGCTCCAGGTGCTCGCCGACTGCCTAATCAGAGCACACGCGGCCTATACACTCCGCATATCTGCGCACATTCTGTCGGCACTGCCCTCCGTTAGGTACCTCGATAATGTGTGTCACTCCCTTGTTTGCATTCTAGGACCCAGTCTTGCAGAAAGCTCTGAAGTGCAGAAAGGATCTAGTCAATGCTGATCCTGGCAGTTCCAGCCTCTACAGCCAGGCACGAGCAGCAAATGCCTTTGCTCTGGTTGGGGATGAGGTAATGAGGAAAGAAATAGTAAACGGATTGGATCAATCAGCCATCCTAGCAGGTATGACAATCCGCAGGTCAGGATGGAGACACTGACACAGCTGTGAGGGGAACCCAGGACAGGAATAGCAGGGGGGTTGCAGGGCAGGGACAAGAGGCATTGGCAGAGCTGGGTGAGGAGCCCAGCACTGGAATAGCAAGGGGGCTGCAGGACAGGACTGAGGGACATTGGGAGGGCCAGTAGCTGTTGGCCAAGCCCTCACTGAAGACAATATACACTAGGTGTCTTTCCCATCCACTTCTCCTCAGATGGGCAAATGTATTGGATCCAGCAGCCCAAACCGAAGGAGGGATCCATGTACTGGTATCGGGCTCCATCCATTGATGTGGAGCTGACATCTAGCATCCTCATGGTTCATTTTTTGAAGCCAAACTTGTCTTCTGCTGACATTGGAAAAGCATCCCAGATTGTGAGCTGGCTCACCAAGCAGCAGAACCCCTATGGAGGCTTTGCCTCAACCCAGGTAACCTGCTGCTTCCCTCACAGGCAGAGAACCCACCTTGATCTGGGGGCTGTAAGAGTAATGGGCTGTAGGCCATAATGCTGTCCTGGGGGGAACAAACCACCTAGCCTGGAAGGCTGTGTGGAGCTACCTGCATGTGGGGGCTGAGGGGAAATCTTTCTCCAGCTCATGCTATCTATTCTAGGGGAAGCCTCAATCTCTTCCTACGTTGCCCCTCACTGTGGTGTGAGGGGTGGGGCAGGAGGAGGGATGGGAGTTCACAGACTCTGTTTTCCCCATCATATGTCTGTTCCCCAGGACACTGTGGTTGCCCTTGAAGCCTTAGCCTTGTATGCCCTCAAGACCTACAGCAAAGATGGTCCTGACCTCCCTGCTTCCATCTCCTCTGAGGGCTTCAGCCATGAGATCCTGGTGGACACCACCAACCGGCTTCTGCTGCAGACGGCGCAGCTGCCAGCCATCCCCAGCAGCTACACAGTGCAGGCTCAGGGCCACGGGTGCCTGTTCCTCCAGGTCAGTCTGGGCAAGGGAGAGGGGTCCTCTCTGGGGGAAGACCCCATTGAGCCAGCCATGGGTACAGGAAGGAGATGAGCATACTCCCTGGTATTCAGCCTGGACTGGAGAGCAAGCAGTTGGGAACTACCCTGCCCCAGGTCCCCAGGGCTGGGTGGATGGGGTAGCTGTGGGTTTAAGGGTTTTTTTTTGTTTCTCAGTCAGTGATGAGGGAGTCCCTCCCCACCAGGCCAGAGGAGCTGCTGTCTTCCAGGAGGCCTGGTGGCCAATTGCCAGACACAGCGGGACAGTGCAGCCACCCAACCTACCCAGTCCTCAGTATGGTCCTTTCCCCCGGCTGTGTGAGACAGCAGAAGGCCTGGAGAGCGCAGTTTGCTCTGTGACATCTGCCCCTGCACTGGGGCTCTCTGTCCATGTCTGCTTCTCTCTGTGTCTCCTGACAGACCACCCTGCGATACAACATCCCTCCTCCAAGGAGCGACCTCACCTTTGCGCTGTCTGTGAGGACAGAGTGCATCGGCCTGAATGCTGCCCGCTTTCCTGTCACCATTCAAAGCCGGTAGGAGACCCACGGCTGCCACTCGCCATCCCTGTGCATGGGGGCTTCTGGCTCTGTTAGCCTCCAGCTCTGTAGCAATCTCCAGCCAGCCAGGGTCCCCCTTTCCCACTCCTCTTGGGAGCCTAAGTGCTGCTGCGGACCCAGTCTTCCTAGGACAGGGTCCTCCCCCATCCTCCCAAGCACCATGGATATTACTAGCCCTGGGGTGAGCGGTGCAGGCTGTGGCCCTGACCTGAGCAGTGCTGATCACCCCCAGCTCCCCATGAAGTGTTCAGCATCTTGCAGGATTAGGCCCTGAAACGCTAATGTGGAGGGACATGCACAACACACGGGCTGAACCAGCCCTGACACTCAGCTCAGACCTCCCCCGCCCCAGCAGTTTGTCACTCCAGCCTCCTCTGCCTTTCCCAGGCCTGGTTAGGGTCAGAATCGCTGGCATGCCAGCGAGAGGGTGAGATCTCCCTGCTGTGAATCTCCAGCCCCAACTGGAAGCAATAAATACCAGGAACTCCTGAGGAATTTGTTCTCTTGTAACTTTGGACACAGTTGGTAGGGGAGGTGCTATGGAGAGTAAATGGGGGGCACATATCCGGGGTGTGTGTATTTATTACACTGCAGTTATGGAGAGGGAGAGGGATGCTGGCAGGAGAATGCCTATAGAGAGAAGCAGATCTCTCTGTCTGGCTCCCAACGGCCAAACTGGAATCTGTCTGCTCCATGGATCACAGTCTCACAGGGTGATGTTCCTCTCTTCTATCCCTGGGCTCTTGCTGCAGCTACACTGGGAACCGTGTGTCCACCAACATGGTGCTGATCAAGGTGAAGATGCTGTCTGGCTACAGCCCTGTGACAGAGTCCTTGGAAGAGGTGAGCGTGCACACAGCTGCCTACAGCCCTCCATAAAGTCTGTGTGCCGGGAAAACTGGTTTGTAGCCACGAGGAGGCTTATCCGCAAAGCAGTAAGAAGAAATGTATGTGTGCATTCCAGTGGGCAGAGAAATCCAGTTCTAGCTCTTCTCCTCCCAGGGGCCACAGCACCCACAGTCCATCCCAGGACTCTAGGAGTGGGATTCTGGTCACCCAGGACAATCACCACCCACCCCTTCCCTTGAATGTATCACACTTGCCTGCATGCAGGCAAGACTCCCTGGAGACAGATGTTCCATGCTGGAGTCTTTGGGTTTGTTTTCTATTCTCAGTTAAAGAAAATGCCCGTGGTGAAGAAAATTGAAAGAGAAGTTGAGCAAGTCACCCTCTACCTGGATGAGGTGAGTTCAACTCAAACTTCCTTTTAGCTCTAAAATAAACTAGTCTCTAATTTCAAGCGCCCAGCCTGAGACACCTATAGCCTGGTTCGCAAGGATGTTGAGCACCAACAGCACCGCTGATTTCACCTGGAGCAGTGAGTGCTTGGCACCTCTGAGAACCAGGCCCAACTAACCCAGTGCAGCTCCTTGTTCCCCTCTCGTGATTGGACCACGTGGAGAGTTAGTCTTTTGCTACCTTCGTGTTACCTGACCTGATCCTTTAGCTGAAGCAGTAGAGGCTCATGCTTTTAGATCCAGAGATGCCAGAGATTCAGTCCCCACAGACAATCCAACCAGGGTGTCATTGCCAACAAGAGGGGATACAATTTTAGACTTGGTTTTAGTAGGTGGTGAGGACATTGTAGAGGAAATAACCTTGGATCGAGTGATCATGAGTTGATTCAGTTTAAATGAAACGGAAGGGTAATCAATACCAGGTCATCCCGAGCTGTGTTTTTTTATTTCAAAAGGGCAGCCCTTGGGAAATGAAGGGAGTTAGTTAAAGAAGTCAGCTGGACTGGCGAGCTCAAGGACTTAAATGCGGAAGAGGCTTGGAGTTTCTTCAAATCAACTATACAAAACCTATCTGACATTTTTGCATCCCAAGTAAGGGGAAGAAACTTGTAGGAAATGGCTCCAGACCCAGTTGGATGAATAACCACCTCACCAGGGTGATTAGGAGTAAGCAGAGAGCTTATAGGGAATGGAAAAAGGGGTTGACTAGCAAAGAAAGCTACAGCTTGGAAGATAGAAAATGTTGGCATAAAGTAAAAATTGCTAAAAGTCAAGCTCTTACCATGAAAAATTTAAAAAACCCCTCTTATTAATTTTGTTATATAAATAAAAAGAGAATAAGGAAGGATGAGGTTGGGCCACTATGCAGTGTGGATGGGAAGAATATTAAAGCTAATCTAGATGTGGCCCAAAAACTAGATGAATACTTTGCCTCGGTTTTCAGTAAGGATGATAATGTGGAACCTGGGCATGAAAGCAGGACAGTTGTTGGAAATGACCACATCTGAGGTGGAAAGAAAATTTAAAGAGCTTAATGTGCTCAAATCTGGGGGACTGGATAATATCCATCCCAAAATACTGAAACTTACATCTGAGATTGCTAGGCTCATAGCAATGATTTTTAATAAATCCACCTATTTGGGAGTAGTCCCATATGACTGGAGAATAACTAACATCATACCTCTAGTTAAGAAAGGGAAGAAAAGTGATCTGGGCAATTACAGCCTGATCTCAGTAGTATGCAAGGTTTTAGAGCAAATTGTGAAGGCAAGAATAATTATATTCGTAGAGGTAAAGGGGATGCAATGCAACATGGGTGTACCAAAGGTAGGGCATCCCAGACTAGCCTGATTTCTTTCTTTGGAAAAGGAACTGGTATTTTAGATAAGGGAAGTGCGGTAGATCTAATATACTTGGACTGCAGTAAAGCATTTGACACAGTACCACATGGGAAGTTATTAGTTAAATTAGGGAAGACAGGGTCAGTACAAGCATTGTATGGTGGAAAAAGAACTGGCTAAAGAGGAGAAGGAAATGGTTGTGCTGAAAGGTGGATTATTGGACTCGAGTGAGGTTACTAGCAGAGCTCCTCAAGGATCAGACTTGGGGCCAATCTTATGCAATATTTTTATTAATGACCTTAGCACAGAAAAGGAAATTTCCTGATGATACACAGTTAGGAGGCATCGTCAATAGAGAGGAGGATCGGAATATTACACAGGAACATGTGGATGACTTTGAAGACTGGAGTGGAATCCAGAAATGGAATAAAATTCAATAGTACAAAGTGCAAGGTCATGCACTTAGGTTCTAATAATAAGAATTTCTGCTACAAGCTGGGGGCTCATCAGTTAAAAGGACAGAGAAAGAGGGAGACCTGGGTGTTAAGGCTGACCATAGGATGACTATGAGACACAAGTGTGATGTGGTTGAGAAAAGAGCAAATGCGATCCTTGAATGTATCAGATATTACACTCAGGGAGGTGATGTATCAGGCGAGTCATTTCCAGTAGAGAGAGAAATATTAATGCCATTATTCAAGGCACTGGTAAGACCTCATCTGGAATACTGTGTACAATTTCTGGTTGTCCACGTTCAGGAAAGATGAATTTAAACTGAAACAGATGCAGACAAGCTGTTAGTATGATCAGGGGAACGAAGGGCCTATTTTATGAGAAGAGACTGGAAGGGCTTGGCTCATTCAATCTAGCAAAAAGAAGGGTGATTGTTCACTATAAATACATCGGGGAAATGACAGGGAGGGTGAAGAGCTACTTAAGCTAAAGGATAATGCTGGCACAAGAACAAATGAATGTAAATTAGTCATGAACAAATTCAGGGTGGAAATTAGAAGTTTTCTTACCATCAGACAGCTGAGGTTCTGGAACAACCCACCCTGTGGGGGGAAACCACTGAATTTGTTTCAAGAGAGCTGGATGAATGTATGAGTGTGATTGTGTGACAGAGGTGCATGTGATGGTGGGAGCAGGGCTCAGCAGCCCCACGGCTCGCTTCTGGTTTATGTCCTGTGTTCCTAAAGCTCATGCTTCAGGGCTTCAGCCGACCACCTGCCAGGGCCAGGAAGGGATTTTTTCCCCCCAGTGTATTTTGGGAGTTTTTTTTTTTTTTTTAATCGCCTTCCTCTGAAGCAGCAGGGATGGCTGGGGCTGGAGATGGGACTGAGGGAGGGTGGGCCAGGGGCTCTGAGGTGGCACCGAGCATTTTCTCTCTCAGATGCTGGGCTGGCTGGGTCTTGCTCACAAGCTTAGGGTCTAACATCACCATGTCTGGGGTTGGAAAGAAATTTTCCGCCCTGTCAGACTGGCAGAGACCCTGGGTTTTTTCTCCTTTCTGTGCAGTGTGAGTCATATGCCAGGATCACCTGGGTATATCTCACTTAATTATTTCCCTGTCATTGCAGGGGCCTCAGTCACTGGTGCACCTTGGTCCCTCCTAGTCTCTGCCTGTGGCACATAATAGTGTAGTCTCCTGAGGACTGTAATACTCGGTGTCATTTTGGTTGGGTTTAGTGTGCGGGTGCTGGGTGGTGGTGGTGATGAACTGTGATATACAGCAGGTCAGACTAGGTGATCGGGCAGGAAACATCCCTTCTGGCCTTAAAACGCTGTCTCTCTCTGTCTTGGTTTTACACCAGTCCACAGTATGTGACATGCTGCCAGATCAGAATTCTCCACTCATCCACGCTGGTGCTAACATTCTGACTGCACATTGCACTGGTGGACACAACTGCACAAGGCGCATGGCAGGGGACAGTCAGGCCCCAGGTGTCTAAAGAGTGGCACAGATGGAGGCACCCACAGTTCAAGGTCACATTTGAGCATCAAGCTATAAAGAAAGGGGAAATCTCCCGTGGGCCTACAGCTGGGATCAGGGCTGACCGTGGTGTACAGTGAAAAGAGGACTCTCAAAATGGGACTAGGATGATAGTGCATTTCCATGGTGGGTAACCCCCCTCCCTACAGAGGCTGGCTGTAGGCGAACATTATCACACAAGATCTTGGTTCTGGCTGTAATGTCTGCCTTTGCATCTCTGCTCTTTAGCTGACTCGGGACTCAGTACTTTACCCTTGTGGTGCAGCAAGAAATCCAAGTGAAGGACCTGAAGCCTGCCAACGCGAAGGACTCTGATTACTACATGCCGGGTGAGCTCAGAACTGCTGACCAGTGGCTATACTATTTCAGAAGTCTGGGGCCCGATCCTGCAAGGCGCTGGGCACTCACAGCACCCCTTGAAATCGATGCCTGTCATGGTAGCGCAGCACCTCTCAGGATGAGCAATTTGTAGCGGCAGCTCAGAACCTCCGATTCCTTCAAATCGAAGCTGATGGAGAGACCTGTCTGATAGCGAATATCTGGCCAATCCCTCCCTCGGCCCTGCGTCCTGCCCCCTGCTGTACACGTGCTAGCTGAGCTTGCTCTCCGGTGTCCTAGTGAGCAGTCTGTTCACTGCAGCGGAGCGAGCGCTAGGGTGAAGCAGACAGGGGCCGGGGGCAGAGATTTCCCTGCAGAGAGCCAGGGCTGTAGAACTTGCTCTTCAGGCAGATCCAGCTGAGCCCGGAGCCTGCGAACTTTAGGGCATGCTGCAAGTGCCAGTGTTTTCATAATGGATGGACTGATGTCTCCTCTGGGAGCCTGACCCTTCTGACAAAAGAAGAGGACAGAACCCAAAAGAGCTTTCCTTTTGTGTGAGGGAATGTAGACAGAGAGGCACAATGGTGGGTGGTTTAGGTAATAGGGAAAATAATATCCCGTCTGCCCTGGGATCTTCAAGAGGTGAGGAGCTAGAGACATGTCAAGGAGTGGTGTTGTTCTGGGCCAACTCTGAGGCTGCCAAGGACGTCACTGTTCTTGGAATGCACTGCTCCAAAAGCCAAGGCCCTGACCACTTGAGCTAAAGGAGAATCCCCCATAGCTGTTACCAGTGCAGGGCCTATGACACACAGATCAGCAATTCTGAGTCTAGCCAGGCTAGGGTATGCTCTCTCTTTACTATGAGCAAATGTGCTGGCATTGCATTCGGCTCTGCTTTCATGGTTTCTGACAAATGTGTTTCATGGTCAATTTCCCTGCCTCTTACAGAAGAAAATGCTGTGACAGACTATGGCGCCCCCTGCCTATGAGGTGAGTAGATGGTGCATCCTCTCATGCTTTGTGTGTGACTGTCTGGTGCACACTGGGAGGCCTGAAAGTTTCATTCAAGAAAAACACCAAGCTGGGACAAGCATGCTGAGGGTGGGAGGGGACTTGCATACAGCAGAACCTCGTTTATCTGATCTAATTGGGACCAGAGCCGGATCAGATCAACATAAATCCAGACAACGGCAGAATGGGAAAGCGCAATGCTGCGGCACCCTCTAGTGGCCACAGGAGAGATGGCCCCTTTCTGGACTTGAGTGCGCTGGTTGTCCGGTTAGCCTGGACAGATGGTTAATGGAGGGTCGGATAAATGGGGTTCGACTGTAGTTAAGGGGAATGCATCTGCCAGTATTTAAATTGGGGTGATGAGAGAATCTGTATTGCTGATCCCCCGAACCATCCAGTTACGCAGCTTGGGGCTGGCTGGAAATGGGGCTGGAACGACACAAGGCTGCAGAGCCGTCCTCCGGGGTCCCTGAGTGCTCAAGCCCTGCGGCGTCTGTTAGTCAGGCCAGTAGGAGTCAGACACCTCCTGTTGTCATAAGAGTGGCTCTACTCTGTGGCTGAACAGAACACAGTAGCAAGTTAACTGACTGGTTAGGGGCCCATGTCATTATTGCAAGGATTTTACTGAGCCCCAGAATGGATCCTGATCACTCTGTATTTAGACAGAGATCAACGTCTGTTTCAATAGAGCTACAGGCTCCTCCTCGTGAGGCAGGGCTGTGTATGAGCAGAGCACTAGACTTGGATTTTGGACATCTAGACTCTGTTCTTGGCTCCGCTGGATGACCCTGGACAAATAATTTGATCTGAGCACTTTCCTTTCCCCTTATCTGTACAAGGGGTATGGGAGTGGGAAGATACCTGTCTCCAAAGGGTGTGGTGATGTTCAGCTTATTCATATGTGCAAAGCGCTTTAACATTCCCAGATGAAAGATGCTAGGGGGGGGAAATGTTATTGTAATGAACAGTCTGGTGTGCATCTGCAATACTGCCTTCTGCTGGATGGAATCAGCACTACCCGAAACTTACTGTCACAGACCCTACACTGTCAGGGGAGTGAGATTCTCCTCTGGCTTTAGCTCAAGTGGCTGCGGCCTGGGATGTTGAAGCAGCAGGCGGGGATTGCTATCCTTGCTGTTGCTGTGAAGTTCCATGTGGCCAAAGTGTCCTAAATCTCCATCAGCTGCTTGTATTGTTTTTTCTCAGGGTTGTGTGTGTCTTTCTTTTCCCCTCCTCTCCTCAGTCATGGACACTAAGTCCTTTTCTTTCCTCTTCACAGGATTGGGACAGTCAGTTGCTGACAGCTTTCCAACAGGCCTTTGTCAATCGTGCCCCGCTGATGTCCGATACCATAGTGAGAGATTATGGGTGACGGGACTAATCAATTGCCAGAACCAGGGAACTCACATCTGCTGGTGATGCACCAACATCATCCCTGCAGGATCCCATCATTCTGCAGTGACCATCAAACCAACCTTGCATGCAATTGTTTTAATTCTTTTCCTTGGGCAAGTCCCCAGATTAAATTGACTTGAAGCCAAAGACACCCTCCCCCTGGAAAGGAAAGTCAGACAGGGACTGTGAGCAGGGAAGGAAGCCATAATCCAGTCTCCCCAGCCAGAAGCTCCTCTGTGAATCCCTCACAGGTTCCCCACACTGTAGCACAGCCATTGCCTTCCCCACTTCCCAGCAGGAGGCTGCAGGAATCTCACTGAGCTGTGGTGGGAGTCACTGCTGGATGCCTCGCTTCCATCCAGCCTCCTCCCCCTGCACTGAAAGACAGGGCAGAGCCATTACCCAGCAGACAGGGGGCAGCAGTTCACCCCAAACACCTGGCGATTCTGTCCCCCTTGGTATCATCTGGGAAAGCAGCTGGGCTGCTGTGTTAGAGCCAGGAGAGACAGGCAGGACGGGTGTGAGCCAGCCCGACCACTCCCCTTGGCCTCAGTGGGCTTTGGGGCAGGCCCTGCCTTCGCCAGCAGTAGGTGGGCTCCTGAGCTCCTTGGTCAGAGTTCTGTCTTAGATCCAGCCCCAGTGAAGTGCTTCCTGGAGTGAGGCTCCATTTTATTCCTTCAGAGGCAGCTTGCACAGAGCCAGCTACAGCTGCCTGGCATGTGCACTGCTTGCAGGAACCACCAGGAGGCGGGGACAAATACCTCAGCCCCACTCCAAAGGCCGGATCCCTCCTTCTCCCCCTAGACAAGGTGGCACCATCCCAGCTGCTGCTCCCTATTTGCCCCATGACAAGCAGGGCTCCTGCCTCCCCACAACTCCTCCCTCCCACCACAAGGGTTTCAACTCCAAGCACAACAGAGAGGTTCTTCCAACCCTCACTCAGCCCCTCTTCCCCAGTCCCCTGCAGTGGCTTCCTCACTGTGTCCTGACCAGTGCTCCCCACTACCTAGCAGCCACCCCACTGTCTCCTGGGGCATCTCCTGCCCTCTGGATTCCCATCATACCCCACCCCAGACATCCACTCTCACCCACCCCGCCCCCAGCTGTCAGCTCCCGAGCCGCTGGTTAGCCTCACTGTGGGCCAGAGCTCACACCTACCTCAGCTGCAGACAGCATTATAGTCAGCCAGGGCTCGCTCCTCTGCAATGGGAAACAAGAAAGCCAGAATTACACCCAGGGGAGAGGGTGCAGAGTCTCACACCAGCTCCCTTCAGCCACAGCCTGGAGGCCAGGAAGAGCCTCAGCTCCCTGCCTGGATACACAGCAGCCACCACCACCCACCTGGCTGGTAGTAGTCATAGACTTTGATGTTGGCTGGTTTCAGGCCCTTCACCTCGATCTCTTGTTCCAATTGCAGGATGAAGGTCTGTGACTCATCACTCAGCTTGTGGAGGTAGGAGGGAGACCAGCAGGGAAAGGGAGGGATAGAGAGAAAGAAGTTACATAGCTGCTTTGGTCAGGGCTTGACGTGACTTTCTCCACTTGCAGCGCTCCAGGCTATTAGAGGGTCAGGACTGTAGAAAAGGAGCAACTACTAGGATTGGCAAACACCCGACAGAGTGACAGGGCTATACAAGCTTCCCCACTGCACAGCTCTCCCAATGCCCCTCAGTCCTGCCCTGCAGCCCCCCTGCTATTCCAGTCCTGGGCTCCCCACACAGCTCTACCAGTGCCCCTCAGTCCTTCCCTGCGGCTCAGCTACCCCCACTTCTTGTCCAAACCAAAAGCTCTTGCTCAAATTTACCTTCTCTAGATAAATGAAGATTGCATCAATTTTCACCTCCGTTTTCCTAACGAGGGGTCTCTGCTGCAGCTGAGACAGGAGATAAGAGAATTTCTGAGCTCCTCTTCCTCACCGCAGGGAAGAGAGTGTGACCGGGTCTATAGGTTCGGAGGAATGGTGTGAGAAGTGCCCCGCCCCTGCCCTTATGTCAGGTTTCATTTCCTCAGACGTCCCCTCATGGAGAGTTTATTCATAGATTCCGAGGCTGGAAGGTACCACTGTGACCTCAACATAGAACATCCCCAAAATAATTCCTAGAGCAGATCTTGATTTAAACATTGTCAGTGATTGAGACCCCATCATGACTGCCGGTAACTTGTTCTAGTGGTTCATTATTGTCACTGTTAAAAATGTGTGCTTTATTCATGATAATTCTTGCAGGCCTAGGGAAGAGCAGGGTCCTGCCTGGATGCTTTCCAAATGAGCTGGGACAATCTCCCCATCCCAGCAGCGAAGGGCATGGATATGCTGTACGTGACCGACCCTGTCTTGGGTGTCAGTCTGTAAATCCTCTCAGCAGCAGCTGGAGCAGTTCTGGGTCTGCCTGCTGGACTTGAGCTCTGATTCACAATCAGGCCAGCTACTGTTTGGTCTGACTCCTCGCCCAGCTCATGAATGCTAGTACTGCTCCAGACACAGGGGAGGGGAGGCTCTAGATTCCCGGATGCTAGGCAGCCTGGGAGTAGTGTGTAGAGAGAGATCAGTGGTGGCCCAAGGTGGTTCAAAGGCTCCAAGTCTTACAGGAGGTTGCAGGGGCAGCTGAGTGAGGGTCCTCACAGCTGTCTAAGAGCCTCTGTCTGTGGAAGCTCCCTCCCCTCTCAGCAAGGACAGATCCCACCAGTGATTCACCACCTCACCCTTTGCCATGGCCCCCATTCTGATGCCAAGATTCCTTACCGATGTGTGGGAGCCTGAAGCCAGACTGAATCCAGACAACAGGGAGACCTCCAGAATCACCATGTTGGAAGTGACTCTGCTCCCGATGTAGCTGGGAGTGGGGAGATGGTCAGACTGTGAGCCGGGGCTAAATGAGGCTGTAACATTTCCTCCCCATCAGTCCTCACCAGCACTAGCCCTCGTGTGCACAGGGACTGGTGCCCAGCGTCCTGGCAGGGAGATGAGGCCTTGGCATTCGAAGATCTGGGGGCTAATGGGATCAAACTGCTCTGAGCTGCCCCAGCCTCTTGGGTATCCCTCAGAGATTCCCTTTTCTGTACCTATCAGGCTCCTCCCCCAGCTGGATAAAGCTACAGGACCCTCACACTGTCCCACCCCATTGCCAGGCACCTGGTCCTGACCTTCCTCCCCATCCCTCCCTGCTGTCCTTTCCCCACACGGATGAGCACCCCAGCCCTTGGGCTTGCCTTGTTCCCAGCTGCCAAAGCTCTCTGTATCCCCCCCGCCCCCCCAGGTGGCCTGAACCCCTGCCCAGCTCTGACACTCCCTGCTCTGCTCCAGGCAGGGGCTGCGTCCCAGGTGAGTGATGTATACATGGGGGGAATCGCAGGGTCACCTGACGTGGATGCGGACGGTGAGGAAACGTGCATTGCCCTGGGCGCAGTCCATCAGCTGCGTGGTGACGCGCAGAGAGAATGTCATGGAGACCCGTGGAGGAGGCTCGTTGTATCTCAGCACCGTCTGCAGAGGAGCGAGAGAAGGGGAAGTGACAGATCCGAAATTCCATGCAGAGGGAAGCGGCAGAATTCCCAAACCCCACCAGTAACACTTCCCCCTTGTCTCAGACACACTTCCCTGTGACTCACCTGGGCATAGACGCAGCCGCTGCCCTGGGCCTGCACTGAGAACTCCCCGGGGATTTCCGTCAGCAGCGCGTGCTGCAGTAGCAGCCGGTTCTTGTGGGTGACCTGGAACTTCCTCTCTAAGCTCCTCTGAGACTTCACCGTCACTGTCACCTGTGCCAATGCGCTGAACGTCCGGGCTGCGTACTTAGCCAGGGCCTGCAGCGCGACCACCGTGTCCTGGCGAGGGAGAGACAGCTACCTCACTGTTTGTGTCAAACCCTGCGGGCACAGGGAGGGATCAGTGCACCTGGGGAATCCCCCTCTCCAGCCCCCAAGTGCAGTGGGATCTGCACCCCTGGGTACGAGCGCTAGGCTTCTCCTCCCTCTGCCTGAGTACAGGAGCGCTCCCCAAAGGATTCTCTGTTCCTGAGTGCAGCAGGGGCCACAGCCTGCCCAATGCCCGGGAGGGAGGGGGGCTCTGTCTCTGATGGGAGCCAGTCATCACCTGTGTGGAAGCAAACCCTCCGCGGGCGTTCTGCTGCCGGGCCAGCCAGGCCACGATGCTGGCAGCAGTGGCCATGTCCCTTGCGTTTATGCGTGGTTTGGAGAGGTAAGCCAGGAGCACGTAGGCTGTCAGCTCAACATCCACTGACTGAGTCCTAGGCCAGAAATCTGTGGCAGCTGGGGAGCTGGGCTTGGGGCTCCAGTGGATTTGGCCTCCTAGGGAAAGAAAAAATAACACATGAGTTACATGGGGGAAAACACATCTCCAGAGATGGGGAAAGCCATAAAGGAATCATCCCAGTAGTCCGCAGGGGCCCAACCCAAGATTGCTCCCTACAGTCTTTGCTCTGGGGATTTGTCCAATCCTAGATCTCAGTGTTCCACTCCTTCCCTTGAAGAAAGTTGCTCATTCTCACAGACTCCTCTGTGTTAGGAAGTGTTTCCTGAATGTCCAACCTGGAATGCCCCCAGTTGCTCTATGGCAGCCCGTGAGATCCACCCCCACAATCCACTTCCTCTTCATTCTTCATGATCACACCCTTCACGTACGGTAGCCTGTTACCATATTCACTGTGACTGGATAGCCAGCCAGCAGGAGACCAGCTCCTGGAAGTGCTCCAATGGCCCTAAATATCCTACAAAATCAGAGCATTTGTAATCGGGGGGGGGGGGGGTTCAAAAGCACTCGGCCCTGGCTTACCTCTGCTCCCATTGAAGTCGGTGAGAGTTTTGCCATTTGCGTGTGCATGTTAGGTTTTAGTGCTGAGTATGTCTGACCAGGACTAACTCCTTGATCCTGCAGTGCAGTTACTGCCCCTGTATAAAGGCCATGAAAGCAGCCTTCTAAGTCCCTGTTCAGTCCCTCACAAAGCAGCCTGCCTGGC